CGGGATTGTTAGTGCATTGTTGCATTTCACAAGTTCAAACAGGTTGGTTGCTAATACAGTACATTGTTGCATCTCACAAACTTCACGACAGGTTGGTTGCTAATACAGTACAGCTTATTAGTATACATTCAGCCAAGAAGATTCACCTGTAGTACATTTACTGCTTTATAAATGCACCTCTGTATGTATATACATTGAAAGTGCTTTATAACAGCCAGGGTGGATTTGATTTAAATCAAGTTGCATTTATATGGACCTTTTTGGTGAACTCAGGGAACTCAGCAGCCAGTTCCTACTCTGAGTTTTTCTGAGATGACTGTGTACCATTCTATCCCATAAGTTCCTACCACTATGATATGTAATCACCAGTTTCTAGGCATTCCTTCATATCATTGTCCTGTGTCAAAATTGGCAAATATTGATAGAAGATTCTATAAATACTATTGGACTGTGCTGAGAAATTTCCAATTAACCAGATCATTTTTCTCCAGTCCCTATTTTCTGCCTTGGTCAATTCCAATTTTGCAATCCCCATTTTTATCTTTTGCCCTGTAATAGGCTCTCTTAAGAATCTTTTCAGGATACCCTCTTGCCGTAGCTATCCTGATAGAGGAAGGTGTTATGTGACGTAGGTTTATGAAAAATATTTGTCTGTAGCACCTAGTTCTCATCTCTGTAGATTGTTAGGTCCAAAACAATCTAGCTTTTCTTCTTGGATATCACTTGTAAGGGCATCCCTATTTGATTGTTGTTTTAGGATTCATGCAAATTCACAGAATTTCTCTGTAGAGCCTTCCCATAAAATGAAGGTTTTATCAGTAAAATGAACCCACAGTGAAATTAGAGATGTATACTCCCTTAACTCATCAGCAAATACTATTTTCTTCCTCCCACCATTCAAAAAACAAATTAGCAAAGGTGGGTACACAGCACATACTGTAGCCTGTGCCATGCCCTTCTGTTGCTTATAAATTGTTTAGTTGAATAGAGAGTAATTGTGTTTTAATACAAAGTCCAGAATTCTCAGGACAAAGTTCAAATGTTTCTGAATGTGAATGCCCCTTTTTGACAGAAAGTATTTACAGTACAAGCCCTCAATTCCAGATTATGTTCTATGTTTGTGCAGAGGGCCTCGACATCTAAACTTGCTAGGATGTGAACAAAATTCACCACTGCACTCTTATGTTGAACATAAAAGTAGCACTACTATGATAGATAAAGATGCATATAGGGGATGTGTGTCATATGTGGTATGCAAAAACATACTGTGAAAACTTGGGTACAGAGCAAAAGAAACAATTATAAATTTTATAATTTTGTAATTATAAATTACAAAAAAAACTTCCATAAACACAGAAATGCACTCAGCCCTTAAGCCCTGTTGAGGGCTAATGCAGGCCATAGACAGGGAGAAAACCGGCCGTTTTTTTTTTTTTCCTTAGAAAAACGAAAAATCGGTCGTTCAATCAGCCGACGTTACCACCATTGGTAAAAAAAAAGTCGGCTGATTTTCGTCCCGTCTACGGCCGGCAAATATAATAGCGGTGTCTCTGCAGAGAGCTCTGCTATTATATTTGACAGAAGAAATAGAATATGAATAAGAAAAAGAAATGAATAAGAAGGGAAAGTTGCAACATTGTATCTTTTTGTATCCATTTTGGATACAGATGTTTCTATTCGGATACAAATAGATACAATGTTGCTATACTTTTAAATGTCAAATGTAATATCGGACTGAAATTCTTTTTATTTCTTCTTCATATTCTATTTCTTCTTTTTCTTCTTCATATTCATATTCCTTTTCTTCTTATTCATATTCTATTTCTTCTTTTCCTTCTTATTCATATTCTATTTCTTCTTTTTCTGCCTCTTATTCATATTCTATTTCTTCTTTTCTTCTTTTCCTTCTTCTTGCTGGTCACTGCTCATGCGCATTTTTAAAATCAGTAAAAAGATCGGCCGATTTGTCCATCATTGCCGCAAAAATCGGCCAAACGACAAAATTGGCCGATTTATTTTCCAACATGACCGACAAAAAAAAAGTGTCAAAATCACGAAAAACGGCCAACCCATTACCCCACTAACGATCCGAAAAGTGGCCGATTTGTTTTTTTTTTCGGCCGAAAAATCGGCCGGTTTTCTCCCCGTCTATGGCCTGCATAAGAACACACTGCTTTTTTGGTGGACAATAGGTGTCAGCCCTGCCTAGAATCTTTTGTATTTCTACAACACAAGACTAATTCTGTAGTCCAAGATAACAAATAGGATGTCTTAACAGAGTCTTTGAGATAAGCATGTAGGAGAGGATCAACTGATCTTAAGCTGCACTTATCAAACATATGTAACAAACTGCTTCTAATATTATATAAATAAGACTGATAGGGAGCAACTAAGAGACGCTTAATGTTCAGGTTTACATACACATTAAAAAAGTATTTGATAGTAAATGTTGTTTGCATACAACTAGCATATTGTAAGTACCTTTTAGGTCCCTTTCACACGGCTCCAGTGCAGTTTTCCCGCAGTGCAGGTGCAGTGCAGTGTACCCACAGCTTTCGTGAGGGTTATACGCACCTTGTCATAGACTTCCATTAGATTAGACAGTTTCGATGGATCTAATTGAAGTCTAAGGCAAAGCACGAGTAACCTGCATGAAAACATGGGTACACTGTGCTAGATCCCTACTACAAGGAAACTGCACTGTACCGTGAAAGGGGGCCGAATTTAGTTTTGCAATTAGGCAATGAGAGTTCAGGAGCACTTAGACATGGGGTTCATTCATTACGGTACCAAGCAGTGCTGAGACTGTTACACTGAACGTTGCATGCGTACATTCTGAAGAAGATTGCGAATCGACAATGCGTTTCTTTTGTTACAGAAGAGACATACTATGCTCAAAATTCATCATTTGTTTTTACATAAGGTAAAACTATTGGTATTTTTTTTTTTTTTTCAATTTGGACAAGGGAGGGTTATAACCCCTACCAGTTTTTTTGTTTCCATCTGTGTTCCATTGGGGGGATTTCCCTTCACTTCCTGTTCCATAGCCAAAACAGGAAATGAAAGGAAATCCTTGCAAAATAAGGGAATCCCTTGGGGTCCTGCAGGTCATCAGGACTAGTGTCACCATTGGAAGATTTTTCTTTTTTTTACTTTTTTGAGGACAGCACAAAATGTGGGATTTTTTTTTTTACTTCAACTTTGAATGATAATGGTAAACAAGACAAATAGAGAGGGTGAATCTCCTTAATGGGGGCACAGACAGCAATAAAAATGGACAGGTGTTCTAATACCTCTCCACTCTATCCAATACTAAAAACATTTTGCTGTTACTTAAACTCTCACTTTAAGAATCACTTTTATGTGCCCGTAAGTAGCCAGAAGAGTTGATTTATTACATAAGAAGAGAATTCAGTGACAAGCAAAATGTTTTATTTAATATAATTTTAATTTCTTACACATCATTTTAAAGTAAAATAATGTATTCAAAAAGTGACCAAGATGAGATTTTCAGGAATTCAGACCATTCAATCGCACACAATGTTGATATATTTATAAATGTACGCATCCACTATTTTCACAAGTCAAGGCTTCACAGGTCTGGCATACTCAATAGCTTTTATGATCACTAGGACCATGGATGGTCCTGCTAAACATCTTAACAAGTTATTATACACCATCATGGCTTTGGAGATGCATCAATTAGTGTTTACATTAAAAACTTTGTCAGAGATTGCTATCATTAACATTTTATCTTGTTAGTTAATGTGTTGTGATTGTCTTTATTTTTTCTTCTACAGTGGATGGGCCATACCTTGAAGTATCTGAGCAGCCTAAACAGGTAATGAAGTGCTGATTTATCCATTTTACTCCATTGTTTTCCTAACTATTAATTTTGGATCTGTCACATACCTTGATATTGTGCTGGTGATCTTGTGGTGCCTGGGTCATGTATAAAGCTTGGCAATCAACTATTTTTGATATTATTTAAACAGTAAACAAGGTTCAGGATAATGATTTTTGTAAACTGTTCTAGCATTCTACAGATAGTCAAAAATATCAAATCCCACCTTCATACAGACGTACAAATATTTGCTGTATTGCTGCTTATCTTTATGGGATAGTTCGCTCATAAGAGAAATTTTTAGTTCTTGGTGGATTTTACTAGAATGAAGAACGTCCATTCTGTATAAGCTAAAATCTCTTATTTGGTTGGAGATTAAACAGGGCTAACTATCTCCCTGCCTTCATGTAGCCGCACTGAACCAGTTATGCAGGCCATAGACGGCTCGAAAACCGGGCGTTTTTTTCGTCATCATCATTGACGTGAAAATCAGTCGTTTTCCACAAATTTTCCAACATGACCGATAATCCAAAAGTGGAAAAAACGCGAAAACCGGCCGACGAATTAACCCACTAACAGTGCGAAAATCGGCTGATTAATCTTTCAGATGAAAAATCTTCGACCCGTCTATGGCCGGCATTACTAGGAGCTCTATGACCTTGATTAGCTAATAATGTAAAGCACGCCGACCTTCAAAGTCAATTTCACTTAACAGCGTGAATTTTCACTTATTTTAGTGGCTAGGGTAGAACAAAATAAAAATTAATTTTGCAAAGATTATCCAATCAAGGACATTTAAAAAAAACAGGATTTTTGTGCACACATGGTCAGATGATTGAAGTCAACACAATTTAACCTCCTAAACTAAGCTAATAGAAAAGTAACCTTGCAAAGAGAAATGTCACTTAAACTCTGTGAATTAAATGAATGCAGTCACCCAATCATGTGTAAGCAAAAATCCTGTTTCATTTTAAATACATTTTTACTTTGTTTCATCTAGTTTATTAACCCCTTGCCCACCACACTATAGTAGAACTATTGCTACAGGGCGGCAGGCTGTGCAAAATCCTGTGTATATATACGTGATCTGCACTTCCGGATAGGGGGCGCGTGTGCGCGCCTCCCTGCCCGCGCCGTTGGCGGCTATGGATGCCAATCACCGGGTCCTAGCCAGAGATTCCCTGAGGGTACCTGGTGATCGCTGAGTAAAACTGACAGGGGAAAGACCTGTGTGTAAACAACACAGGTCTCTCTCCTGCCAGCAAGGACATGCTGCTGTGAACAGCAGAGAAATGCACAGCAGCATGTGTCCCTAGTAAAACATACACAGCACATGATGTAAAACAGCACACAGGTTTGATCGCCCCAGATGTTAACCCCTTGCCCAGTATCATTAGTACAGTGTCAGTGCTTTTTATTAGCACTGATTACTGTATTCGTGTCAGTGGAAGTTAGTCAGTTTCCCCCAGTGTCAGAATGCCCGCCGCAGTCCTGCTATAAGTTGCTGATTGTCGCCATTACTAGTATAAAAACAAAAATTCCAGTAGATATACCGCCATTTGTAGACGCAATAACTTTCATGTAAACCAATTAATTTACATGTATTGGGATTTTTTTTTAGCAAAGACATGTATGTAGCAGAATACATTTTGACCTTAATTTATGAAGTAATTTGATTTTTAAAAATTTTTTACTGGATATGTTTTATAGCAAAAAGTAAAATTGTTGGTCCTTTTTTTTTTTATAGCGCAAAAAATAAAAAACCGCACAGGCGATCAAATACCACTGAAAGAAAGCTCTATTTGTGGGAAAAAAGGACATAAATTTCATTTATGTACAGCGTTGCATGGCCGCACAATTGCCAGTTAAAGTAACGCAGCGCCATATCGCAAAAAATGGCCTGGTCAGGAAGGGGGGGTGGGGGGTAAATCTTCCGAAGGGCAAGTGGCTAAGATAAGTGAAAAATCGCTCTTGTTGTAATGTCTGTCCAACCAGTCTCTAGCTGCTCCAGGCATATAGAAAAACTATACCTTGCCATTAGCAATCAACCACAGCTTGGCAGGATATAGCAATGTATACTGAAGACATACCGTTAATTTCCTGAGATGTTTATTGGCTTATGGAAATTTTGCCCTGTGCTTTTGCTTCTTAGGTGAGAATAAAAAAAAAACATAACTCTGTTGCCATTAAAAGTAACATCTTTAGTAAGATCTCTGGATCAAAGGAGAATGTTTTCCTTGTCACTGTATTTCAGCAGTAAATGTCTCAGAGGATTGCCTGGAGACAGGGGACAGGTAAGAACCCTGTGCACCCTTGCATACACTGGAGAAGGTTGCTTTTTGGTGTTGAGTAGCCACCACTTGGCAGACTCTGTGGAGTTTGCACCTTCCATATACTCAGGAAGGTTTACCAATCTGATATGTTTGCACCTGCCAAGATCCCTCAGTGGCCAACCACAGCCCCCTGAGATAAGTGAAATATCACCTTGAAATTGGTTACGTTCTTCTCTTAGTAAATCAACCCCTATCTGTTCATGTATTAGTCGTGCTTGTATGCGTTCATATATTTTCAAATTCATTAATTTTTATGAAAATGTTGCAGAGAGGGTTTCGCTTCCGATATGTGTGTGAAGGACCATCCCACGGAGGCCTGCCCGGAGCTTCCAGTGAAAAAAACAAGAAATCCTATCCACAGATTAAGGTTTGATTTTCATGATTAAAATGGATCACATACTGTTTCTTGTCTTTGTGACTTTAAGCCCTGGTACGTGTGAACTATCTTGTCTCCTAAAAGAGTTGTAATTCTGTTCAGACAGTTTTCTTATCCAGACATGCTTATTAAATACTATACTATGTCTGGACCATTTACCATCCTTCAGTGCAGTCAAACCAACACATCTTGGTGGCCATACTGAAGATACAGTGGAGGAGTGACCTAGTCAGCCAGAGACGAGAATTGTGTTACATGTAGGATTACCAGGTGAAAGTAAATAGAAAAAGGCTTCAAAATTGAGAACAAATACATCCACCACACCAAGCACTAGTATGTTGCAATAAAGTACATTTTTGGTTTTGGGTTTAGATACACTTTAATTAAATCACTAGTATAGCACTTAAAATGTTAGTTCACCTTTACTAGAAACCTGCTTATGCAGATACGGTGTGTGTGTGTGTGTGTGTGTGTATGGATAACAACATGTGTGTCTGACTAAAGATGAATGATACCCTTGCTATAGCTGTAGGCCATTTATGTAACTTATGAAGCCTGACTGAAATACTCCCAGGACGTTGCTAGGACGTTGCTAAGTGAGGCTAGTCATTACTGCTCACCTCCACAATCACAGGAGTGAGCTCTTTCTCTGAATCAAAGCTCTCTCTCTCCACTGATGCAGTAGCTCTGAGCTCAGCATCTGAGTGCTCACTACTATGATAGTGAAGGTGAACAGTAATGACTAGGCCTCACCTAACAATGCCCTGGATGTATGGCAGTCAGGCTTAAGGAGGTATGTAAATGGCCTACACCTATAGCAAGGGCATTATTCAACTTTAGTCAGAGCTGCACAGTTTGTTTTTATCTACAGACACCCCTTATCTGCATAGGTAGCTTTTTGTACAGGTGAACTATCCCTTTAAGTAAAGTCATTAGTATTCAATTTTTATCAGACTTGTCTTTTTGGATGGTAAAGTGTAAGGGCCCATTCACACAACATGCAATGCAGTGCTTTCTTTTCTGCATCAAAAAAGATTGGAAAGTAGGGTTCCAATGTCACACTTCACACCATTGCAGTGAATTCTAGTCCTTTTCAGTTCCAGAAAAAAAGGACAACATGCTGCTTTTTTCCTGCACAGAACTGTACTGGAATGCAGTAAAACACATAAAAAATACATCAAAAAAGGCACTAGACCCCAGTAGAGTGAAAAAAAAAAAAAAAACAACAGGAAAAGGAAGCAAACGAAAAGCATTGCCTTGATGGAAATGAAGATTTTGCAATTGAAATGACCCCCAAAAAAGGAGGAAAAAAGCATCTGGAACTCATCCGGAAATGCATACAAAAAATAAAAAAATGCACTGGAATGCATCAAAAAAGCGTTAAAAAAGCTCATGCAGAAATGCATCTGGAATGGATCTGGAGGCCATATTTATGGTGTCAACTGGCCCTAACACTCTTGCAGCTGCTAGGAATCTTTACTGTCACAAATCACATTGACTTGTCTGCCAGAAATCTTTTAGTCATTCTTGTGCAAAGCAAATTGAAAGATTCTGCACAACAGAGAATAAACTGTGACAGTAGTCTCTAGTCTATGTTTTTCCGGTAAACCTAAAATACATAGGTTAAATTATGTAGCAGAGTTAAAAAAAAAAGAATTCTCTGTATGTACTTGTATAGAAGTTTCATTATCTACTCACCAATACCCTTGCGTACTTATCAAAGTGAGGAAATCCTTCCTGTTAACTTTCATGTAGCTCAGCTTGTACATGCTAAAATTGTCTGTAAACAGCAGTGGTAATGGGGCTGTTGAAAATAGAAGAAAGCAGCATAAAAGGAGTTTAAAAACACTATTCTCAGTTTCTTAGTGATGAAATGGGAGAGAGATTAAAAAGCTAGAATGAAAACAGATTTTATCCCTGACTGAATGACATTTTGTTTATTAGAACACAGATAATGCAAGATAAACAGTGCCATTTTGCCTGCTGATCTCTTAAAGCCTCTTTACATACACTTTCTTTTTACATACTGTACGTGCACTCTAGTTATAGCTGCATGTCATTTCGCAGGAAGGGTGTCCTAATGATGACAACAGTGGACCACGCCTGCATAATATGTTGAAACAGTTATGTGTAGTCTCCATCAGAAGCCTATGTGACAAGTGACAATGCAAGAGCACAGTTGAGAAACAGGGACAGAGTTGTCACCGCATAACAGCAAGGGCGTTATTTCCAAACACTGGAGAGTGCAAAATCTGGTGCAGCTCTGCATAGAAAGCAATCAGCTTCCAGGTTTTATTGTCAAAGATTAATTGAACAAGCTGAAGTTAGAAGCTGATTGGTTAGATTGGCAGTTTTAAGCTTAGTTAGATTGATTCTGGAATTCCACTTTAACAAGGAACTTCATGGCAAGATTGGCAGGTATTATTTTGATGAAGATGTATTACACACTACATATCACAGAAACCTCTGTGCCTGGCGTTTCACTTTATTTGATGCAAGTCACATTAGCCTTATAGGATTATGCCATAAAATGGTGATACTATTAACCACTTCCAGTCCGGACACTTTTACCCCCTTCCTGACCAGGGCAATTTTCAGCTTTCAGCGCTATCACACTTTGAATGACAATTGCGCGGTCATGCAACACTGTACCAAAATGAATTTTTTACCATTTTTTTTTTAAACAGATAAAGCTTTATTTTGGTGGTATTTATTCACCGCTGGGATTTTTATTTTTTTGCTATGTAAATGAAATGTCCAAAAATTTTGAAAAAAAGTTTTTTTTTATACAATTTTGCAAATAAATAATATTTCATTATAAATCTTTGCCAAAATTTATTCCGTTATCTTTTTAGTAAAAAAAAAAAAAAATCCAAATTAGTTTATAACCAAAAATTATAATTTTTAAACATTTTTTTTTACATTTTTATTTTATTTTTTTATATTATTATTTTTTATTTATTTAATTTTTTTTTACATACTGTCACCCTAGCAGTACAGTGTCACCATGGTGACACTGTACTACTTGTGGGGGGTGATGAAGATTTTTTTTTTTTTCTTACACATTGCTTTTACACCCATATATAGGATGTAAAAGCAATCATTTCTCTTTCTCTCTGTGTGCATTCTTGCACTCATTGAGAAGTACTGAGTGAGTTGTGATTGGTCAGAGCTTGTCACATGGTACAAGCCTGTTGTGAATAGACTTGTACCATGTGATCTCTGTGATCATTCACAGATTTCACACGTAGTAAGCAATGATGTCACAAGTGACATCTTGCTTACTACTTTGCATGTTTTCACTGATTGGCCAATCAGTGATCACATGATCGGGACCTCGTACAGAGGTCCCGTCCGACGATCGGTGTTTCACTGTGTCCGGAGGACACAGTGGGCACCGGATCGTGGTGCTGCGTGCTCCCAGGGAGCGCGCACAAGCAGGGTGCGGGGAGGCCGTTTATAAACGGCCACCCGACCCTGCACTGCCACCATCCGGCCGTTTATATGCAACGGCCAGTCGGGAAGTGGTTAAAAAGAAAATAAAAAGCAAATTATTTTTATATTTACAGGTATAGATAGCTACTGTAGTATAGTATTATTTCTGCTTGTTATATGGTCATATCTTAACTGTTTTGAGAAAGGGGAAGTCTTAAGTTCTGTAAATGGTGTGCTAATAGAAGGAACTTAGGAATCAAATAAGTAATCTATTTATACTTTGGAGTTATGGTCTGTTACAGAAAAGTTGCAGCATTTTGTAATGTTTTGGTGAAAGCATTGAAG